CCCTTTCACACAGACTTTCCATTCAGATCTGACTACACCCTCTGGCATTCCTGGCAATGGACATCATGAGTAAGAGCAGACGATTCATGTATCATTTACTTCCTGGAATCCATCTGCCATTAGCTCAGGCACAGGCTGAACTGAGAGCCCTCCTGAAGACTGCTGGGATGCATGACAGCATTTGCCTAGGCATTGAAACCGGGAAGAAATGTAAAAAAAAAAAAAAAAAAGCTTAAAACAAGTAAATGATTTACTTTCCTATTACTAATGCTAGCAGCATAAGGATTAAAAATAGTCCATGTTGATTGAGAGTGAAGTTTAACTTACCCTAGGTTTGCAGAAACGCAGTGCAGTCCATTTAACAAGATTTCCTATGGGACATGTTCACATCTGCGTGTCGTCACCTGGTGCATTTTTTGAAAAGGATCAGGGACTTTAACGCAAAAAGTTGTATTTTTGGCTCTATAGACTTCAATGGAAACTCTGCAGAAAAGCATGTATTGCGGTTTTGCCGCATTTTTATGCGTTTTGCATTTTAAATCTGCCTAGCAAGAAAAAAAAAAGGGGAAACGCATAAAAAAACTTTTGGAAACTGCATAAAAACCGCAGGTGCAAAAACGCAATGCAGAAATGGCTCAAACGCAACCTTCATAGGTGTGAACCTAGCATTAATGCAATGGTCTGGTTTCTTTTTAGGCAGATACAAATTGTGGACATTATCTCATGATCCTATGCTGCATTAAAAGCAACTAGACACAGTTGATACAAAGGTGGGCATGAATGTGTAGATCTATATATCTTGTGAGAGATTTGCTGGTCTTTTCTCAAGCATGTGCTGTTTGTAACCTGCAAATTTCTCCCACGTTTATTAGAGAAACATGGCAGACTTTTGGCACAAGGCTTGACCCATCTTGTTCATAGATCAGAGGTGAGTCGCAACAGCTGTGGGAGGTTCAATGTCTTTTCTTCATACAAAGAGAATAATCAGCGGTCTGTCTGCAAGCAGATAAATTAACTAATTAGGTGCTGCCCTGCATGGGAGGAGAGGGGTTAATGCCTTTCCGGGTTCTTTCTTTATTGGGCCTATCTATACTGTTTTCATTTTTAACAGAAGGTCCCAATGCCAGTGCCACTAAATACTCCTCAGCTGGCCATACACTATAGAATCAGGCTGTACAATGTACATACAATCTGGTTTGGAATTACCAAAACTAATAAAAGGACAAATCTAAATAATCCATTTCCAATCAAGCAGAGCCTTGCAGTACATAGTTGACTGTAGATCTAAAGGAGATTTGCCATTTAGATTGTACAGGCCAGCATGGCCAGCTTTACAGAACCATAACTGGCTTGTTGCCCTACTGCCTTCCTTATATATGTGTACAAATATCTCAAAACATCGCTATAAAATGTGCTTGTGACAAAACATTGTTATAAGCAAATTGGAATGACAACTCATTGCTACAATGAAGACATTGGATACTGTCCAATTCAGGGCAATGCAAACTGGTAGATAAAATAGCATAGAAATAAAGAACTTAGAGACAGTTGTTCAAGTATCTACGGCAGGCATGTCCAAAGTCCGGCCCGCGGGCCATTTACGGCCCGGGGGTCGGTTTAATACGGCCCTCCAACAGCCCTCCCTGCTCTGTGTAATGTGGCCCTCCCACGGCCCTCCCTTCTATGGCAGACAGTCTTCTGCTTGAGAGCAGAGGGCAGTGCGCATGCCTGACTGCGGCACGTTCTCCCTGGTCTGTGTAAATGCGGCTGTCGCACGGCCCTCCCTTCTGTGGCAGACAGTCTTCTGCTTGAGAGCAGTGCGCATGCGTGACTGCGCCGCGCTGGGAGCGACAGAGGGCAGTAACGTCAGGGCCGGGCTTCCAGCGTGAAGTGTGTTTCTCTTCCCCTCCCGGCTGCCGAGCAGAGACTTCAGCTCCAGCTACCTTTTTCACCCTTCACATTAGTGCAGGTAAGTTTTTTTTTTATTTATTTTCAATACATTGTGAAAACTCAGCTGTCAGTTGATCTTAATGTTATGAAATGAAAAGTATGTCGTTGCAATTAACTTGGTATAAAATAATTTATTTGCATTTAATTGTAATGGTTCAAAGAATGTTCGGAAAAATGTTCGGCCCTCCACCATGTTCACTTCATCCAATCTGGCCCTCTTTGAAAAAAGTTTGGACACCCCTGATCTACGGTATAACTGGGGCAAATGTAACAAAGAGTGGATGAAAGGATAAGTTCACCTTTTGTAACATGTTATATGTTACACCCATATTCAGGGTGTAACATGTTACTGTTCCAGCAGCTCCGCATCCCCCCTATCCCCCATTATGACAGTGGGTCGGGGATTCTCTCCCTGCACACGCTGTTTATTAAGAAAAAAAACATGGCCATACGGGGCTCCACCCACCCTGCTATATCATTCATTCACAGTGTTCTGTGAATAGGAGAACTACAAGTACCGGCAGCCTTTGCAGCTGGTGGCTTGTAGTTCTCAAAGAACTACCAGGGCGCTGTTGAGTGCTACAGGTAGTTCATTGATGCTTCCTGTCATTCAGTAACTGCCTGCCCGTAAGAGGTACGAGCAGACAGATACACTGACAAGTCTGCAGGAGCCTGAGATTGCTTCCACGATCTGCTGATTTCGGGTGCACTGCTTTGCAGGCTCCTACTAAAAAAAAATTAACAAATATACATTTTTTTACCTGCAAAAAGATGTGCATTTATTTTATTTTTTTTACAAAGGTGAACTTTATCCTTTAAAGAAAAAGCAATACAATCTTGGAAGTCATGGAGAAATATAGAGGCTGCCATTACTGACTTTATATTCTGCAAATGTTAGTTGCCTGGCTATCATAAGAAATTCAACACTTTACTTAACCAGGGCAAGTAAGGACTAATGACTGTACCCTTACATTCCAGATCTGGATACTTGTTCTGGGTTTGCTATTCAAAATCTATTGAAGGTTCTGGCTTGGCTTGGCTGGCATGACAGCCAAGCATCTAGAATTTTCAAATGGACACAGAAAGTAAGTCCTCATGCACACTTGACATTTTTACAGTGGCTGTTTTTGGCGTTTGATTTTTTTTCTACAGCCAGTAAACCCCCCAGCATGCTATCCTATGTGTCCATGCACACATAGACTGTAATCAATGTTTTTTGGCTGGAAAAAACCCCCAGGCCTAGTAGGTTTCTAGAGGAGTTTTTTAGCTGTAAAAATGCTCTAACGCAGCAAAATGCGGAAAAACTAGCGTTTTGGACATTTTTTGGGGGGTAAAAAAAAAAGCTAAAAAATGCAAACACGAAAAACTCCGCTAATCACAGCAAAATGCAGCTAAAGGTAACGCTAATGAAAAAAAACAAAAAAAAAGCTGAAAAACTCACATTTTTAACGTGACTTTACACATCTAACATTACAAACGTTATCAAAACGTCCAGTGTCCAGTGTGGCTAAGTGTGTTTTTGATCTCATAGACTTCAAGTGGTTCTCTATGTTACTACCTAGGGGCTAAAAAAAAAAATACACATACAAAAATGCTTGTAAACCACTTTAAAAAAATATGTGTGCCAAAAATAAAATGCCTGTAGAAAGTGCTTTTGATAAGCATTTACCAGGTGTGAAGGGAGGCTCATGAAGATAAGAGGAGCGGGAGGTGTCCAAATCAGAAGTGAGTGCCAGGGTTGCCAACTGTCAGTAAATTTACGAACAGTGATTTTTACAACTGTCTGTAAATATCAGGGGCTGATAATTTGCCATGCTCTGTTGACTTTTGTCATTGTAAATTTAAACTCAAATTACTTGTTACTGGTATTATCAGTGTTTATACTGTTTAAATATTGATTGTCTTTGTTTTAAATGTAATGTTTGATGTTGTCAGTAAAAAATGGTGCTCCATCAGTACATTTTCCATGTTTCCAGTAAAAAATGCTGTGGGAGGTTGGCAACACTAGTGAGTACTCTAAGGCTACGTTCACACTAGCTTTGTCAGCAGGGCATCAGACAGGCGTTTAGGAAGCGTTTTTAAACGCTTCTCAAATGCTTATGAAAATTCTGCACATGGCAGCACACAGTGCTGTTCACACTGAAGCGTTAGAGTTGTGTCGCGGCAAAACTGAGGCCTCGTGTCCAGTCAGGAGGAGTTGAAGCCTCCCAATCAAGTCTATGGTGCCTGGCAGGCGTTTGCGGTGCAGTTGTGACGTGCTTGCGGAGCGTTAATACCATTTCAATTCATTATAGGCATTTGTGGTGCAGTTTTACCGCTTGGCAAACGCCAATCAACTGCCTCAAAACCAACCATGGGGCATTTGGGGAGCATTTGAGGAGCGTTAAAAATGCTTCCCAAACGCCTGTTTAATGCCTGTCAAACGCTATAGGGGTCGTTTGGCAAGAGTTAGAAATAAAGTCAAGTGTGAACGAGTCCTAAAGTGACAACGCTGCTCCTCCATAGATATGGTATAGAGTGTGTTGTCACTCTAGGACAGGGATAGATTTCCAACAAATGCAGCCACCACAGGATATGTAACATTTTTGTTATTGGGTTTGGACACACTTTTAGGTCAGTCGGTCCACAGTAATTCTGGCTGCTATGAAACAGTCATCAGAATAAAAAGTTTACATCCTTATGAGTAGTGAGTAGTAGGAGTGTCTGGCTCTCCATTCACTTACTGCATAGCACAAGATCTCTCCATACAAAAGGCAACACGTTGAATAGATGAAAGGAGATAGTATTCCTATTATTAATAAAGAATTGCAGGGGGAGTCCTCGGGAAGGGAGTTCTTGTGACTGGCTCTTGTGACTGGCTAATGCTGTGCAGAGGATCAGTCTGAGGAGTGCTATGAGTAGAAGTAATGGAGAAGTTTGCTGTTGCCAGTCTGGCACCTCCTCCTCCTCCTTTTCATTTGTGTGAAGATCAGACCACCTCATAAAGCCCCTGATAAATGCTGCAGGCTCCAGCTGCTGTCTCCTGCCTGTGGTGCTGAACTGAGTCAGACATGAAGGAGATCCTGACTCTTCTACTAAGCTGCATCACCTGTAGAGGGCTGGGGCTTGAGAACAGCCTTCCTGTACAGGACTGTGCCCTGCACTCTGTCCATGGACATCATACCCACTACCAGGTAACAGATGGCAAGGAGTTGGTGATCTCCACCTGGGATACCAGGAGCAGGCAACTGGTATCATGTTCTGTGGAAGAGGATGAAGGGACAGTCAGTTCTTTCCTAACCCAGTGCACCAGGCAAGATGACGTGTTGTATAGTAGCTATGGGGGCTTTGCTGAAGCCAAGATGGCATGCTTATACTTCCTACAATCAAATCATCCTAGAAGAAGAACAGGATCAAATGACCAACATGCAAGAGTGAAGAGGGGCTTTACCTATCCAGGAACCCTGTGGTGTGGAGCCGGGAATAACGCAGAAAAAGAAAGCGATCTAGGTAAGAGCAAAGCTTATCCCAAATTCTAGCTAGCATTTAGACAAGCCTTCTCCACCAGGGCTCCTCCAGAGGTTGCTGGTGGTTCCTTCAGCAATAAGCAGCTTCTGCCTCTCAGATGAGAAGCATCAATGATCTTTTTAGCTATTTGTAAACCCCCAATGACCATAAGACCAGGTTCACATATGTGTGGGGCCGGTTTCAGTGTGATTTGTAAAAGGAGTCTGGTGTGATTTTGTTCAGCGGTTGAGGTGCAATTCAGGTGTGAATTCTTAAAGTGTATAAATTAACACTGGAAATCAGACCTGAACCAGACTGAAAATCGTACCTGACTTTTTTTAATATTGCACTGCAGCCGGCCCCCACATATGTGACCAAGCTCCATAGAAAGCTGGTTTAGTTCACATGTCATGCAGTTCAATATGTAAAGAATATTAGTCCCACTGATCACCTTGATGTATTGTGAAGTGTAGATATAGTAATTATTAGCAGGGGATACCAGAGCAAGGAAAGTTATTTTAAGGGTTCCCCCGTGTTGAGAGGATTCAGAAAGGCTGGATGAGACAAAAATATGACCTGGTACATATGGTGGAAAAAGGTCTTGATCATTCTTACATTGAGGTTGATTTACTAAAACTGGAGAGTGCAAAATCTGGTACAGTTGTGTATAGTAAATCAATCAGCTTCTAATTTCAGCTTGTTGAATTAAGCTTTGACAATACGGCCTTATGCATACTGGGCGTTTTAATAACATAGGCACTGTAAATATCTCCTAAATATGCACCGTTTAGGAGATATTTAATTGTGTAGTAGCACTGTCGCATGCACTCTAAAGGAATGGCATATCCATGTGCTGTGTGCCGTAAACAGTGACTCCTCCACGCATGCATGGGAGTGATATCATAATTCACCCATTCAAGTCACCGGAGCCCATGAACCCGGAAGAAGGACTGGGTGAAGATGGAACCCCTGTCAGCACGCCACTGGAGGGCTTTGTATTAAGGTAAGTTTCACAGAATGTGCTAATATGCAATGCACACTACACATTATGACATTACCTTTCCAGAGAATTTTTTATTTTTAATAATCAAGTTTACTACCACTTGAATGCAAAAGAAAGTAGGGGGTGTTGTCCTTAGCAATCAAAGAGTGTCCTTGTGTCATTTCAGCAAAGCAGAATAATTAACTGATTACAACATGCAGTCACCTGCATCAATATCAAACAGTGCAAATTGTTTACCTAAATCCTTTAATGATACCAAAGCCGTTTATTTCAGATTTATTGAACCAGACATCCTTTTTTAGTTTTTTTTTTTCATCCCAGAATGTCTGAATGGATTTCTTTGGAAACAGGAAAGTGCTGCGTCATAAAGTTTTGTACTGCTGGAAAGCACACTCTCAGCATACCATGATAGTGACATCACAAGAATTTCTTTTTACTGGTTTATTGGCAAACTCAGATAAATGCTTTTGAATGTTCCAGTGGGTGTAATTTAGGATCAGACAGAAATATTTGTGTGTTACCCCAAGCAACCAGGTTTTGTAACAGGAGAATAGGATGGGATGCTTCGGAAGGAATTGATATGTTCTACTGTTCTCAGTTTTCATACCTGAAGCCCAGCTTGTAAAAAAAAATCCTTGTCTAGCTTTGCCCTGTGTCCTAATTTTTATGAAGTGATACTTATTTACAGTACAATAATACGAAAACTGACTTGTCAAAACCTGGTGATATTTTGTAAGACACCAAGAAACCAAACAGGACCGCTGTCAGTTGATGACATGAAAAGCAAAACTTTTTTTCATTGTAAGGAAGGGTTATAACCCCTGTAATGTTTATTTTTAACAGAAACATTTTTATTTGTCACAATCATGGTTTATTTTTTACCATCTGTGTCCCATTGTGGAGACTTCCCTTCACTTCCTGTCCTAGCTAAAGAAAAGTGAAAGAAAATCCCTCTAAAAGTGAAGGAATCCTTGGTTTTCACCAGGGTCACCAGAAGATTTCTCTTCTATTCCTGTTCTGGCAACAAACTAAAATCTGAGATTTTCTTTTTATTTAAATTTCGGTAATAACAGTAAAAAGAATAAAAAAAAAAGTGAATCTCTCTAACAGGGGCACAGACAGCAATCAAAACCCGGCAGGTTTTCCAGTCCCTCTCCACTCTATCCAAAACTGAAAAAAAAAAACGTTTTGCCTTCAGTCATACTTTTTGAAAATGCTCTGCAATTTTCAGGTAGTGGGAAGCTTTCTCAGTTAAATTCAGAGAATAAAGTTGAAAGTACCAAAACTCATCATTTGCTTTAAAAAAAAAAAAGAAAAGAAAAGCCCTATAAAAAAAATTTTTGTAATCATTGCCAGATTTTTAAGGGATCAAAAGAGACCATTGCCCTGGGTTCTTGACACAAAGAGCCCCCTCTATACAAAAATATAAATAGTTAAAAATGTGTTTCTTTTATTATATTTTACCTTGAGAAACAATATTTTGCCCGTAATCATCTTTTAAGGTTTTCATACTGGACTGATAAATTGTATCAGTTTTAAACAAAGTTATGCCTACAATTGTGTTTGTGTGTACAAAGGGTATAGAAACGAATTACCCTCCTTTCAAATAATCACATTTCATTGCTTTGCAGCCTGGAATGAAGACAGACACAGTTTTTGTTTTATCCAGCTGTATTTGCAATTTATAACATCCAACTGAAAGATATAACAAGGGGGTCAGCAACCAGTAGATCGTGATCTACCAGCAGGTTTCAGCCAGGTAACTGTCTGTCACAGTCTGGGCTTGCTGACCCGCCATCCCAGAGCACCAAGAGTACAATGCAGAGGGACTACTTAAGTTGGAGTTGTAGTAGGGACCAAGAGCCCCATAAGCCAATGTCTCCTCTGTAGTGCCGGCTCCTGTCCCATGTGGAGTGATACCAACTGTACTCCACCTCTTATCCCAGCTAGTGGTCTCCAGAGTGGTGCCAGCAGCAGGAAAGGAGAGATCCTCAGGTCAGTGTGAAGCAATACACTGGGCATAGTAGTATAAGGCTTCTTTCACACTGATGCCCTGCGATTTACCAACACCTTTGATGCAGTGCAGTGTACCTGCGACTTTCCTGCAGGTTCGCTACGCTTTGCCATAGACTTCTATTATATCCTGTGGATTTGGTGCACTTTCTGAAAGCGCACCAAAACTCCTGAATGCAAGAGTTTTGGTGCACTTTCAGAAAGTGCACCACACCTGCAGGTTATAATAGAAGTCTATGGCAAAGGTAACCCAGGAAAATCCCAGATGCACTGTGCTGCACCCAAGGTGCAGGTAAACCGCAGCAGATCAGTGTGAAAGCAGCCTTTATAGGGGGCTCAGTCGCTCAGAACAGTATGGGTTCATTTACATTTGCAGTTTGGGGAGGTGGTAAAACCCCATAGATAAGATGTGTTGTTACCATCCCCACCCCCTTTAGCTGCAGTAGACAATGGTGTACACCTGTCATAGCCGCAGCAGGAGTTATACTCCCTGTCATGGTTGGTGGGTTTAGCACCTGCCAAGCATGACCCATTCAAATGAATGAGGCCACTCTTCAAGTGCCCTGCAACCTTGTACAATACAGGAAACAAGGGGTTAAAGCAGGCCGTGTTGCGTTGCTTTCTCACCATCTGCTTTAACCCCTTGCCCCCCCCCCCCTGCAGAAGCATGCAGTTGCGGGGTGCTTGCAAAGTGGTCCCATTTACTTGAATGGCAGGCTGTATCACCCACCAAAAGTAACAGGAGGATTCATTCCTTCTGCGGCATGTGTATACCTTTGGCTGCTGCCTCAGCAGCTAAAGGGAGGTAGGGATTGGGGGCAGTAAAACCGCAACTCAATCACAGAGTTTAACCACCCCCAACTTTACGTGTGAATGAGCCCTAATGGTGCTGCTGCCAAATGCAACAAAAAGCTCATTCACAAGTGCAGCAGGTAGTGCTGCTCCTCTGAAAAGGATCTGAGTGTGTTTGACAGGTGGTATGGTGGTGATATGTTGCCTCCTCACCACCTGATTTAAACCCATGATTGCCTTGCAATGCACGTGATTGTGACACGGTAGTACAGCAATTGGAGATTTAAATCGGGCGTGAGGAGGCGACACTGTGGCCGGTGATCTTTGACTTTTCCCATGTGTTTCTGGTAGATCTCCACCTCTTGAAGGTTGCTTACCCCTGGTATAACACCAACATGTCAGAAAATGTTTTAAAGAATTCAAAAACAGAGTCACTGAGTTTGAAAAAGGATTACCCCCTTGTGTCAGTATTTTGTTGAACCACCTTTTGCTTCAATTCCAGCCTTCAGACTGTTGGGATAGGTCTCTGATAACTTTGCACATCTAGACTTTGCAATATTTGCCCACTGTGCTTTGCAGAACTGCTCAAGTTCAGTTAAATTTGATGGTGACTGTTTGTAGATTGCAGTCTTCCAGCCATTCCACAGATTTTCAATGGGGTTTAAGTCTGAACACTGACTAGGCCATGCAAGGACATTCACCTTTTCTCCTTCAACCACTGTGTGCTCTTTTTTGCTGTGTGCTTTGGGTCATTGTCATGTTCGAAGGTAAACCTTCTTCTCATTGAGCACTGGCATAAGGCAGCAGATTTTCCTCAAGAATTTGACGGTATTTTACCCCATCCATTTTCCCTTCTATCCTGTCAAGTGCTTCAGTCCCTGCTGCAAATATACTACCACCTTCATGCTTTACTGTAGGAATGGTGTTGTTTGGATGGTGAGCTGTATTGGATTTCCATCAGACATATCCACCCATAGTTGATTATTTGCTTCTGTTGCTCTATCAGGGACTGAAATGCTCCAGGAAAGCTCTTTTCATGCTAAGCTAATCAAAATGACCACATCTGATCACAGTTGAAAGTCAGATGGCTTTGTGATTAGCTACACCTGATTGCATTTACAAGCCATTTTTAGGAGGGAGTGATTCTTTTTTCCATCTCAGTGATTCTGTTTTTGAATTTTTGAATTGTTTTCTGACATGTTAATGTTATATCTTTCACTTGGATGCTATAAGTTGCACTGAGTAAATACAGCTGGATTAGACAAAAACTGTGTCTGTTTTCATTTCAGGCTGTAAAGCAACAAAATGTGATTATCTTTAAAGGGGGTGATTCTTTTCTATACCCACTGTGCAGTATGTCAGCATGATCTCATAATGACATTGTTTTCAAATGTGTGACTGTCCTTGAAACCTACTAGCATGTATTTACATGTAGATTTCACTAACAGAGTCCTTGAGAGATACAGTGAAAGAAGCAGCAAGGATGCTTAAAGTGGTTTTTAACCCAAAACCAAAAATCTAACATATTGCAGGTACTAATCCTTAGATGTGGTGGCTGCTTTACTTTTCTTTTTTATGGTTTTTCCCTCAGTTATTAACTGGTGATCTGGTCAGTAACATACCTTCTGTATTAAATTGTTTCCACTTTGGATGAGGGTGCACAGGGCGTACCTTTATACAGCAGCATTGTCAATCTGGGGGTGAGGGAGTTTTAGATGTACTAGCAGATTTAGATACACTATGTAAATATAGCTGAACACCAGCTAACACTCTTTGAGCAGTTACAGCAACAACTATTTCCTTTTGGGATAAAGGCTTTACAAAAATAAAAGCTGATCATTGTAAGTACTCCTGTCAGTATTACTTGGTAACTGCTACATCTGCAGGACAGCTTGTTCTGCTGAAAAATCATGGACTTACTGGCCAGATCACCAGGTGAAAAGAAAGAAAAAGAAAAAAAAACCAAAAGCAGCCATCACATATAAGTTCCTAAGCTGCAGTATAATAATTGATTGCTTCTGGGTTTAATACAGCTTTAACTCTCCAGCAACTACCAAAAATCGACCAAAAATTGTTTCCAGCAGACTTAAAGCAGTTTTAAAGTAAATGTTTTGTAAATAAAATAACAAAAATGGTATTACACAGAGTGGCCCCAAATCTCCCCCTATGGGGCCCCCCATTAGCACTGTCTGCTCCTCTTCTGTGTGTGCCCCCATAGCAAGCCACTTACTATGGGGGCACACATGCAGGCTAGCTCCCGAGCCGGGCTGTGTGTATCCATAGACACACATAGAGCAACTCAGGAGGTGCCAATAGCTCCTGCTGCTGCTGGTTCCTCCTGTGACAAGAGAAGGACATGGGAGAAGAAATGCAGATGAGTATAGCACTGGTTCAATACAGGCCTCAAGTACGTATTGGGGGGGGGGTACTCCACTTTTGTTCAGAAAAAACATTCCCCTCAATATACATTGCAAGGATTTTGTCAAACTTTGTTGCAGATCCCTACCTTGTGTTATTCTGAAGAAAAAGCTGTTTGATTGTCTGTGTCCATGCAAATAAAGGAAAGAAAGCCTAAAAAAAAACTAATGCAACCACCACATCTAAGAATTGGTAAACTGCAGTATCATAAATGTTTGATTTGGGGTCTAAAGTGGTTCTAAAGGCTCAAGGTTTTTTACCTTCATGCATTCTGTGCATGAAGATAAAAAAACCTTCTGTGTACAGCAGTCCTCTCAGCCCCATTAATACTCACCTAAGCACCCTCTCAATCCAGCGATGTGCACTGGGGATTCGGCTATCTCGGGACTCCCTCTTCTCATTGGCTGAGACAGAAGTGGGAGCCATTGGCTCCCACTGTTGTCAGTCATAGCCAGTGAGCCAATGAAAAGAGAGAGGGAGTGGGGCCGAGGCATGGCTCCATGTGTGAATGGACACACGGAGCAGCAGGTGCCCCCATAGCAAGCTGCTTGCTGTAGGGGCACCTGAAAGAAGGGAGGGGCCAGGAGAGTCTGTGGGGGACCCAAGAAGAGGAGGATCCAGGTTACTCTAGCGACCATGCACAGCTGCACCAGATTTAGTCACTCAACCCCTAAGTGTCATACTGTCTGTTGCATCATTTCTCTTCTATCAGCATGAATCACTGCTGACAAGTTTTCCTGACACCAAGAGAAACATGGTGCCTGTGTGCTATGTGAAAGGGGGGGGGGGGTGTCTTCTCTCAACCTTAGAGCTCTCCTCATCATTTTTTTTTCTGAACCCTCAGACAAGCTGAATAAATTCTGGACTTTGAATGGAGGGTTTTTTTTTTATCTCTGTGTATCTATCACATGAGACCAGCCACTTTACTGGGTATATGCATGGGTTCAGATATACAATTTTCTGTTCCCCTGACCCAAGCATACACATAGGATATAACACAGCAAAATAAGGGAGGGTAATCCTGAAATGTTTCAATCAACAGACATATCCTTAGGTTAATTTAGAACTACATTCTTCCATTCTTCTATAGCCATTCCAGGCCTTGAAGACCAAGGTCTCCAAATCTTTCATTATCTTGCCTTTAGCCTGGCTGTGGAGCTTTGGCGAGGAAGTCTTCTGTCGTAAGGGATTAATCCCAACTGGTTCCCGTGACTTTAGATCAATGTTTCTCAACCTCTTTTCAGTCAAGACACCCTTTCAAATTATGGACAGTCCAAAGGCACCCCATTCTAAAATGTGAAAAACTATTCTAATAGCAACATCCACACATGTAGGACACCCAACATTAGAGGTGATTTATTGTTCCAAAGCAAATACACTTTTGCACACTGGTACTGAGTAGTTTTCCAGTGTTTCTCTTCTCCTCACTGAGCTAATGTGACCCCAGCACCTATGAAGAGGGGCAGTGGAGGGTCAAACTAGGATGCTGGGATGCTGTGCAGGCAACCAACATCCTCCTTATCAACTGATGTCATTAGTTGTCAGGATGGCGGTGGCTAGAAGGTCGTAATGGTGCACAATGAAAACCTGTGGCATTGTGTAACTAAAAGGCGGGCTTGTTCCACCTGCTGGCTTGTATACAAGTTTTGGCCAATTTTTAGAAATTTTGCCAAGGCACCCCTGAAGAAACCTCAAGGCATCCCAGGGTGCCTGGGCACCCTGGTTGAGAAAGTGTGCTTTAGATAGCGCTGACTCCAGTTTGTACCTGAACAGGAATGAGTTTTGCACAAATTTGACTTAGAAGAGATGCCTGCAGTCCGTGGATTGAATTGATTCGAAATGCAATTTTTTGAAAATAATAATATTGTTATACTTACCTGCTCTGTGCAATGGTTTTCCACATAACAGCCCCGATCCTCCTCTTCTGTAGTCCCATGCAGGCGCTCTTTGCTCCTCCTCTCTGCCAAGTACGCCCATTACAAGCTGCTTTGCTCTGGGACCAGCTCTGTGTGTCCATTGACATACAGAACAAAGCTTGCCCCCCCCCCACCCTCTCCTCAATGTCTGTGATTGACAAGCAGGAAGCAAAGGCTCAGCTGCTGACTTTCTGTCCAATGAAAAAAAGAGAGTTGAGAGAGCTGCTGCTCTTGTGCACATTGCTGGATCGAGAATGGGCTCTGGTCATAGGGCTTGTCTAATCAACATGGTTCTAGAGGAACAGCATATCTATATGGACCTCATCAACTGCGACACTGTCTATCTTGATTTCACCTAGTGACCGAGGAACCATTGAGACTTTGTTACTGACCAAAAGGTCAGTTTCCACCTTTTTCTGCCATGATACAAATTACCGGCCACTGAAGCAAGCTCCAGATCGTGCCCAACAAACACTACTTAAGGTCGTATAGATCTTTTTCATTTGCATATCCATTCTTCTGTGGAAGGTGGCTCTTTGGAAAGGTGGTACATCTGGCCAGTCTGATGACCATTGTGTCTACCAAAGATGCTGAATCCAGGACACACACCTCGTTCTCTTTGAACAGGTACACCTTGGACAATCTATTTGACAGAGAGAGGACTTTCTCTCCACTTCCTTCTATTCATCAAATGAGTTTTCTAATTTCATCCTTTAGAGGCAATGGCAATAAGGAACTCCTTTAAAGCTTATCTCCATGCTTTAATGAAGTTTAAATGGCTCTGTTGGGCCAAGGTGGTCCAAATAAACTACTTACTTAATGAACGAATGCAGCGGCTGTGTGCGCTGTATGAACTTTCAGAAATCATGATATCATCCTTTCCACCACTTAGTCTCAGCCAGTCAGAGGAAGCTTTGTATTCATTCTTGTATATCTTTTTTTTTTTTGTTCAGGTGAACACAGAGAAACAGACTCGTGCTGTAGGACACATGACCACTGTGAGCACGTCATCCATCCCTTAACCTCCAACTATGGCCACTGGAACCTCCGTTGGCACACCATCAGTCACTGCCAGTGTGACAACAAGTAAGTTTCTTATTTGTCATTGTTGGGGTTGCTGGCAGGAACTGGTATTTTTATGAAGAAGTTTGCAGCTATATAGAATTGTAAAAATGATGAATAATGTAACATCAAGTAGTTCATGCTAAATTGGTAGACGTCCTATGAGCTTTGTGGTGCTACAAAATGCTTCAAGTGGAATAAAAATGCATGGATGGTCTTTTGTGACCAGAATTACAGTGCTGTACAAGAACACAGCTTCCCTGGACACAAATAGAATACAGTGGGGATCGAAAGTTTGGGCACCCCAGCTAAAAATTTGTATTAATGTGCATAAAGAAGCCAAGGAAAGATGGAAAAATCTCCAAAAGGCATCAAATTACAGATTGGACATTCTTATAATATGTCAACAAAAGTTAGATTTTATTTCCATCATTTACACTTTCAAAATAACAGAAAACAAAAAAATGGCGTCTGCAAAAGTTTGGGCACCCTGCAGAGTTAATATCTTGTACTGCCCCCTTTGGCAAGTATCACAGCTTGTAAACGCTTTTTGTAGCCAGCCAAGAGTCTTTCAATTCTTGTTTGAGGTATCTTTGCCCATTCTTCCTTACAAAAGTCTTCCAGTTCTTTGAGATTTCTGGGCTGTCTGTCACGCACTGCTCTTTTAAGGTCTGTCCATCGATTTTCAATTATGTTGAGGTCAGGAGATAGTGAAGGCCATGGCAAAACCTTCAGTTTACGCCTCTTGATGTAATCCTTCGTGGATTTCGAGGTGTGTTTAGGATCATTATCCATTTGTAGAAGCCATCCTCTCTTTAACTTCAGCTTTTTCACAGATGGCATCAAGTTACTATCCAAAATTTGCTGAGATTTTATTGAATCCATTTTTCCTTCTACTCGTGAGATGTTCCCTGTGCCACTGGCTGCAACACAACCCCAAAGCATGATTGATCCAACCCCATGCTTAACAGTTGGACAGAGGTTCTTTTCATTAAATTCTGTGCCCCTTCTTCTCCAAACGTACCTTTGCTCATTCCAGCCAAAAAGTTCAATTTTAACCTCATCGGTCCACAGAACTTGTTTCCAAAATGCATCAGGCTTGTCTATATGTTCATTTGCAAAGTTCAAACGATGATTTTTGTGGTGAGGACGTAGAAGAGGTTTTCTTCTGATGACTCTTCCATGAAGACCATATTTGTACAAGTATCTCTTTATAGTGGAATAGTGTACCACAACTCCAGTGTCTGCCAGATCTTTCTGGAGGGATCGTGCAGTCAAACGTGGGTTTTGAATTGTTTTTCTCACAATCCTGCGAGCTGTTCTGTCTGATATTTTTCTTGGTCTTCCAGATCTTGCTTTAACTTCCACTGTTCCTGATGACTGCCATTTCTTAATTACATTCCGAACAGAGGATACTGACATCTGAAAACGCTTTGCTATCTTCTTATAGCCTTCTCCAGCTTTGTGAGCGTCAACTATTTTCAGTTTCAGTTTTCTAGACAACTGCTTAGAAGAACCCATGGTGCTGATTGTTGGGGCAAGGTCAGATGAGTCTGGGCATTTAAAACCTTTGAGATTGACATCACCTGGTCTTCCCAGATGATGATTGAGAACAATCCATGACACTGACAGGTCTCAGCTTGGCAAAGGGGGCAGTGCATGCTATAAATTCTGCAGGGTGCCCAAACTTTTGCAGACGCCATTTTTTTGTTTTCTGTTATTTTGAAAGTGTAAATGATGGAAATAAAATCTAACTTTTGTTGACAATTATAAGAATGTCTAATCTGTAATTTGATGCCTTTTGGAGATTTTTCCATCTTTCCTTGGCTTCTTTATGCACATTAATACAAATTTTTAGCTGGGGTGCCCAAACTTTCGATCCCCACTGTATATGACACACCTCTACATTATTAACAATACAATTATGAACAGTAATGCATTCACAGTATAACTGACCCGAACACATCACGAGTACACTTTCATTGCTGTCAGGGGGGGAAAGACGTGTTCTTGATTGAGGACAGAACCCATCCAGCCAAAAGTCCAGTCTATTGCAAATACACTGACTGCATATTTTCCCTGTTTGTGTTTGGAATATACACTGTTATTTATTGATTATGGAAAAATTTACTGATATTGTCTCATCAGTGTATAGAATGGGCTACACTGTACCCAAACAATAATACTTTGTCCTTGGCAATATGTTTTCTTTCACCTAAAACCTCTTAAGCAGTTCCATGAATAGTCTAACAAGTCTAAAGCAGAACAAAGCCAACAATTGAGTGTGATCTGACAGCAGTAATTGGGAATCTTATACTGTTGATTACGGCACTTTGCCTCTTTTTGCACTGGCCTGAATATCCAGGTCATGTTAATAATTAACTCCAGTGAACAGTTTCCCAGAGCGCAAATGATACTGCATTTTCATGTCTTCCTATGGATTCTTGTGCATGCTTAGTTGGCATCTATAGAATATTTTCTTGGGTTAGCAACAATGGTATCTTAGCTTTATAAAAATCAGTTTGAGTTGTTTATGCCTATATTAGTAGAAGAACAAGATCATGATAGCAAAGATCAATAAATCCTGCAATCACTGGATTTATATTTGTCAGCACCACACATGTACTTGATCTAGCATTTGTTCACACTGGCTGTGTGATTTTCACTGAAATCATCCCACTTAACATGCAGCTTTTACATTAAGCGTCTCCTCTCAACTAGCATTTTTATGTAAGAGATATGCCCTTGTCATATCCCAGCCATATATTCATCATTGTATATAGGAAAAAAAGGTCAGATTTACAATGACAGCATGCATTCCCACGCATTTACTAACACATATTATACACGTTGGTAAAATGAATCCTACCAAAACAAAACCCAGGAAAATATTTATGAAATGCTACAGCTTGGTAATTTGTAATTTGTTACTATAAGGTGCCTTCTGCTCCAACACCCCCACCCTCCCAATACCCTGATCCACAGGTCCGGTCCCTTATAGACCTATGTAAATCATAAACTGTCTTTCTGAAAGTCTGCATTTACTTTTGGTTTGAAATGACCCAATCATTGCATAGCTGACAGTTAAGGCACCTAGCACTGCACTGTGTGAATTAGAAAGGAGTGTTATCTAGAATTACCAGTGTCAGGGTTGTGGGTCAGGCTTGGAGACCAGTAGCTATAGAAGTAGAGATGCTCCCATCGACAAGCTGGATAATACACAAGTAGGTCATCGTGGTGGATGATGCAGGCTCACCCCTTAATCTAGGGGCGTGAACATTCTCTAGTTCCCAAGAATTTTCTTCTGGCCATATCCTTTCTATTGAACCAGATAATTTGTTCCTAAAGATCATGGAATCAAACATTTTCTCGACCACAAATTCTTCTTAACCTTGCACCTCAACAGGTGGAGGGGGTGAGACAACTCTCACAGAGAAGGGAATTTCAAGGAATTGTTTGAGCAAGGAAACTTGAAACATGGGATGTATCTTCATATTGTCAGGAAGCAAAAAGTGACTGGGTTAACCCCTTGACGCCGACGGCACACAAATATGCGGCCTCACGGGAACTGGGCTTTTTTCTGTGGGGCCGCATATTTGCGTACTTGTCTTTGTGCTGGGAGCGCCCCACTTGGTGAGCTCCCAGCACAGACACCGCGGTGTCACTGAGAGCCCTGGGTCCCGTTGTAACGATCGGACTCCCAATTCCGGATCACGTGATTGCTGTGATAGCCTCTGATTGGCTATCACAGTGATCAGTCACTGTGCAGCCCGGCACCCTTGTTTTTTTCTCTCTCTATGAATGGAGAAGAGAGATACATTGTATCTCTCTAAATCCTGACATAGAGAGATAAAAAAAAATGTTTGTAAAAAAAAAAAAAAAAAAGAAAAAAAAATATTAAAAAATAAAATAAAAAATAAAGAAAAATACCTAGATCAAGGTTTGATCTAGTTCAGTACCAGGGTTAGTGTTTGGGTCAATGTCAGGGTCAAAAGGTCAAGGTCAAAAGTCAGGGTCAAAGGTCAGGATTTAAAAAAAATTGGTATCAGTGTCAGCTAGCGTTAATGTTAGTTTCAGTGTGTTTTAGGTAAAAAAAAAAAGACAAAAACAAAATGCGCACTATTGTTTCTGGGCTGTACTACGGGTACAAACAACAAATAACATACACATATATGGTATTGTTGCGATCATCAAGAGCTGTAGAATTTATTTTGGGTTGTTCTTTGGTGGTAGGTTATGGGTGTAACAAGAAACACACAGCTAAAAAAAAAAAACGATTTTTATTTTCACTATTTTGGGCCAGTTTTCCTTTGATAATAAAAAAAAATTAGGAGCTATCCATTACCATTTACCACCAAATGAAAGCCCAATTTGTCCTGAAAAAAACAAGATATAATTCACCTGGATGTACAAAGTAATTGTGATGATATGTACGGTTTTACTAACACATGTCAACGTTGCAGAATTGTGCTTAGGCATTTAGATTTGTTTTACCCTTAGGCGTGAAGGGGTTAAACTGAGTTGAATTCTGGAAAGGTACCACAAACTTTTGACACAGATTTTCAGATGGATGGTGTACCTTCAAATTTTTGATTAATAACTAAACCTTGTCACCCATGGTAGCAAGTGACCTGCGATGTCTGTAAGCAGCTATTTGTAACATTCCTGAGTCTCTTTCAAAGTCTCTATCCCCTCTGCTCCCAGTCCGCAACTAACCTCTGCAACCCCCCTTCCATGATGCAGCTAATCTCCTCACACTTCCCCCCCCATTTTACAGTTCAACTCATTCTGATTGACCTGTAAAAGCTGGAGAGAGCACAATTATCTGGCAAACAATGCAAAGGCATGGATTAAATAGGAAGTTCATGGGAGGTGCAAGGATGGATTAAATAGGAAGTTCATGGGAGGTGCAAGGATATCCACAGAAACAAGGTACAAGGCAAGATTATCATTAGGATCAGAAAGAAAGCTGTCCAACATTCCAAGTAGCTTAGCAAGAACAGCCACCACTGGCCACAGTAGAG